GAAGTCGCCAAAATAGGCCCAAGCCTTCCAAACACAAATCACAATGTAAGAGATAAAATAGGCCCAAGCATAAGACCAAGCGTTCGGGAACAATTCCTAATAGTAAGGCAGAAATAGGCCCAAGAAGTCTCTGAATTTTAAAGAAAAAAGTTAAAAGATAACTTATTTCAGAGAATCTTTAGGCCTATTTCATCACTAACATTGCGATTTGCCATCGGAATGCTTGGGCCTATTTAGCCACTACTTAGGCCTATTTTCATTCCTGCCATTGTGATTTGCATTCGGAAAGCATGCGCCTATTATACGCCTATTTTTCAATGTCCTACGCCGATTTCATCCCTACCATTGTGATTAGCGCTCGGAAGACTTCCCAAATGCTGCGGCGAAAAGGCGTGACTGCGATAGAGTACCAATTTCAACGCCACGAAAACTATTAATTTCCATCTTCCAAAGCATGTCCCCTCGCAGTAATATAATCATTAATAACTATAATTTAATATATATTTTTTATATATTATTTGTATATTTTTAAATATATTTATATATTATATATATTCCTAATATTAATTGTATAAATATTATAGATATTTTCTTAATTGATATATTAATATAATCAATTTTGTTTTACATATAATTATATTAAATTAATATATTTGATTTATTTATTTCCATATGATTCGTATATTAATTTCTATTCAATTAATACGGCTTTGCGTATAATTCATGTTCCGCCCTAACACGTGGGCGGAATTGAGAATTGTTTGGCGTCACAAAAGCCTGTAGCGGCATTCGGGCAGCCATCGCGAGTGGTCCACTTGTTGGTGTCTGCATGACAGAAAGGCAAACAGCAAACGCCACAGCTGCAACACGCATCCTTGGAATTCTTCAGGCAATAGAGTGTCGAAGAGTCCAAGAAATTGGATCCGCCGAATCCCATGGAACCAAGCTCCTCATCACCTGGACAAATGGCTGGTCCAGACATGACCCCTTCATATGCCTTGTTCTCCACATGGCGATACTCCTTGGGTTCAGATTGAAGTTGGCACCCTTGATCAGGCCAAAACGAGAAGTACTTGCACCCCGCAGTGACGCGGCAAACCGATTGGCAGTGCTGCCAATTGCTGACCTCAACACGCTTACCTTCCATATTGGGATAGTGATACCGCCCAGTGACCACACACTTCTTCTCCTGCATCAAGTCAGTGGCCAATGCAAACATCAATGGGGACCAGAATGTTCAAAGGGTCAATGATCAACGTAGATCTATACACCGTACTATTCCACGAAACCAAAGAGCATTAAAATGCATTAATTAAAGTTAAAGTATCATGTCCAACAACATTTGCCATGAGTGTCCATGTTGTTCAATTTGGGAGTCAACCAGCGTCCATGCGGGGGCGGCCGTGCTCGACTTCGAGCATCCCGTCCTTCTCAATTCGCTCCACCTTTTGAGATTTGTGCTCGAGCATGTAAGCAGCTCCATCGTGTGCTGCATCCTCCAAGGCTAGCAAAAGGCATTATGCAAATAAAACCAACACATCGCAATTATACACCGAGGTCTTACCTATCTGATGGACAAAACACTAACATACCAGGAGAATCGACAGCTTTGTCTTTGTTGGTGTTCCGAATTACATGATCCGAGACGAAGGCCGGGTCACATGTCCGTACCTTGTGAGGTTCCATTGATAGAGTTTTCCTCCAAATTAATTGAAACTCATGACATTTCACCCACGAGAGAGTGAGAGAGAGCGAGAGGTACGGTACCTCGACTGTACTTTGGTCTCAAACCTTTGCAGTGGAACTCCAAAAGGGGCAGACCAAGGACCTGTGGCTCATGGCCCCACGAGACGGCTCCAGGTTTGACCCGCAGCCAATTCAATCACCAAATTATATAATTGCCGAAGAAGTGATTTGGGAAAAGGCACCAGGCTAGAAAAGAACATCACGGTGTCCTCTGTCACACAATCTCCTTCACAAGCTGCGTACGCCAAAGGCAGCGTCAGCGCATAAAATGGCAGCAACATCAGCATCTGCATCAGTTCCAGCTCTTCAGGTCCGGAGGACGTGAGCGTCCGGTGTGTCAGCTCTTGAGCAAAAAGGGCCGTTGGATATCGAAGTGAAGATTCAAACGTCTTGGACAATCGAAAAAAAAGAAAAAACGAAAAAAAACAACAACAGCGCGTGTCTTTCAAAGAAACTCTCATGTGAAAAACATTCTTTCAACCAAGAGATCAGGAGTGACCAAACAAAGGGTTGCACTACCTGCGATATGGCTGCCAAAACCAGGAGACCTTGGTTGACCTTGGGTTGCCTTGATATGGCTTGTTGACATGCGATGGTAGAGGATACAGCATCACCAAACAAAAATCCGGACCCTCTCGAAACGACCCTAGAAAATAGACATGACATGACCAAACAAACACAAAGAACTGCTTGCACCAATTTGTTTTCTTTCTTTTTCAGGGCGCAGGGAGGTATTTTGTCTCATCATTTTACCCGCGAGTTCATGAGACTCTCAATGGGTTACAGGTGGCCGTGTATTGACCAAAACGTGTAGCTGCATACTTCTTACACCATCAACCTCGTGTCCTGTTACACTCTGTTACCAATACCAATGCAGGAATTGCCCTCACAACTCTCAAGCGATAGTGTGTGTTTGGGTGATGCGTTCAAGTCCCTACAGCCAAGGCTGTAGATGAATACTATTATATTCACAGATGATCTTGGGTGGATGAAATATTATTCTCCCTAGTCTGGCGCTGCAATCCATCTTTCACCTGGCCTATTTAGTGAAAGTATGTACTGTAAGTATATAAGTACATGCACACATTCTTTCTCTTTTTGTCTGGAATCATTTGGTCTATGCGCAGAAAAAATCCCTCGCGGAGTGCAGCAGCACCAGCCAGAGACGACCCACATCTCAGCGGGTCGGAGGTCCAAATGATGGAGTAATTGATTAGTCCATGAGTCCAAATCTGGTCCAAATTTCTTGCCGGGGGTCGAATTGAATACTATATTCGAATAGGTTATAATATATATATATATATTATATACATGTGCGGTGGCTTTTAATTGGTACTATGTGGGCCCTATCTCGTTTTGACTACTTAAGTAGGAGGTCAGGTTCGCAGTATCGCGTTCAGATGTGGGGCCTTATCTCGTTCGCAAGTGAATACAGATGATAGACAAGCAAATAGAGCATGCCGTAGACTACTTTAGTATCTTTAGTAAAGGCTAAATAACAGTGGTTCATATATCTGATTGTTCTTCCTAAGAGAGACTCATCAGGCCTTGAATGCTGAACATATTCTATGTCAGGGCTGTCATCTGTCTCCCAACCGCCGCACTGCTACCATCTCCCAACTACCGAGCCGTCAGAGGTGTACCACCTCCCCATCGGGGACCTGAGAGACGCGTCGTTCTACGCGTGTTGGCCGCGTCGAACGCGAGACGAGTCGTTCTGCGAGTTCCCCTCGATTGGGTTTTGACTCCCGGGTCTAGACTCTATAGACAGAAGTTCTACCACCCAAAAAGTCTCTCTAATCTGACGAGATGCTGTGCCGTGACCGTAGATTGAACGATTTGCATTGGACCATCCGAAAAATCTTTGGGTTGTCATTGGTATTCAGTCCTCCGGTCTGAAGCGTGAAAGTTGAATCAAAGTCAAAGCAAAGGCTCATATGACCGTTGTGAATCAGTTCTCATCATTTCAGGGAATCAGAATGTGCTTTGCCTGGAGCAAGTGCCAACATGCAGCCTTCATCTAATGTCAACATGTGCACAAGATTATCCCATCAGAGTGAGCTGAGTTGAGGATGAATCAGCGCAAAGGCTCATATGACCGTCGTGAATCAGTTCTCA